TTTTTTATTGAAAAATGCATAACGGTAGATCTGAAATAATAGCCAAAAGTTAAAGCCATTGTGGTGCTTAATATCCACGAAAAAAAATCATTCACATATGCTCAACTGTCTCTGCAATTTAAAGATTATAAAATAATTTCAATAGATCAAGTTTTCTGTTTTTGAGACTAATTCCAACAGTCAATGGTTCTCCAGAGCAGAAGTTTTTGGCAAAGAAGTTTTTCAGATTCTCAAAATAGGGCTAATAAATCATTTCTCCTGTTTTACAGAGTTATAATTAATGGCAAAGAAACACCTGTACAAAATTCAGAAATAAATGCACATGATAAGTGTATAATATGGGAAAATAGTGTCTTTTTCAGTAAAGGTAAGCTACTTATGGTAGCTTAGTTGTCATCACTTTCTATACGAGCCCCTTCCCACTTCAGTTGGCCCACTTCAAGATTTGTACCGAAATATTCCATTATAAACTAAACATGAGGAAAATATTTACTTCTAAAACAGTAACCGAATTTTCTCACTAATAACCTTTCCTCTACCCATTTTGAAAACCTGAACAACCCAAAACTATTTTAAATGTATTCTGACAGCTGTGATTACTAAAAACAATTGTCATGGCTTTTATTTTTCACAGCCACCTATGCGTTATAGACTTATTTTGCATTGAAATGAAAATAGGTTGATATGCTGTAATTGCAACATGTGTTATTTTTATGGTGCAAATTTGATTAGGGAGTGATAAAGTTGGTGTTTTCTACTATATATTATCAAAATATTCATTGTTAATATTTTAAACCTATAACACCCTGCTACATTTTTATTATTTGTTTGTTAAGAAAAAAACCAAGATTTCAATAGTTGGGCCAACTGAAGTGGGAAGGGGCTCGTATGTGTTGATATGCTTCAGGCCATTGTTCATAACAAAATAAGACCCTAGTAGCTTTTACACCAATAAAAGCTGAAAGGCATTATAAAGTGGTGCTTACCAAGCCATCAGCTCCTATTCTTCCTCTGCCAGTTACCCTAAATGAAATGTCGACTTCCCACCAGTCAAAATTAATCGGTTGCTTTGTCCATATTGCTCCCTTTTGGCTTTTCAGTGACGGAGCCAAACGGACATTTTCAGAGCCAGCAATAGCATCTAAAATATTTTAAACTGGTAATCATCTTGAAAAACTGTAGTTCTTTATCTTAAGAATGGATAAGTGGATATTTGTGGAAAACCTATTTTCGATATTAAACCTTATATTATGCTATTTCAATGTTGAGATCTCTAAAACTGGGATGATTTTCATTGAAATTGTCTGTAGTTTCATACAAAAATAGCAATTAATTCACAAAATACGAAAAACATCTGTTTTTGAAGTGTTTAGGTTAGATACGTGTTCAAAAAAAAAAACGATGAAGTATCGCACGGTCCGATATCCACTTCTCTTTGTCTTAGGCATGCATTAAACAAAGATGCCATGATGAACGTATGTTAGAATTGATGGAAAAAATATATACGTGTACCAAACAAAATACTTACTGCCACCGTATTCCCAAAACGGTACAGAACCGTCTTTTTGAGCTAAATAAGGCGGTTTGAATGAATATTTATATTCAAATTTTCTGTGCACTAATTCGGCTAGTGATTGATTTATTAATAATAAGCCTAAAAATAATAAATTACTTAAAACATCCATACTTCTTCTACACCACTTCGCACTTCATTTGAAAAACCACAAAACGTTTATTATCAGGAAAGACTTGACATTGACAACCAATTGACAATAAGGGATTTTTTATAATGTTTTGTGCAAGAAAATGAATCGTTACCCCTTCCGTTACGTTATTTTTGACAACGACAGCAAACAAGGTGATTGAAAAGTTTTTAGCACGGAGCATAGAATCACAGAACCACAAGTAACTATCAGAACTCAAATAAAAAGCTACATTGCTCCATTTCACATAAACATGACAAATATCAGGACAATTTATTCTATTCAGAGCATTCCTATTTATTGCTCTTATTATATATTTATAAGTTGAAATTATTTTGATTAAGCTTTCCTAGCTTTATTAATTCCTGTACCAGCGCTGAATAAGTAAAAAATAGAGTTTAGTGCTCTTGTTCCGCTGCTTTGTTATGATCTTTCTTATTTCGATTTTTCGTAATAGCGAGACAAACCTTCGTTATCCGTTATCTAAATAAGAAAGATCCGTTAGCATCGGAGAATACAGGAGGGCTTAGCTTAATTAAAATAATTTCAAGTTATAAAAGAATATTGGTTTTATGGTCCCTTATCCTTCTGTGGATGAAACGTCTTATGGGCGAACTGGCAACACCAAGGTCATTCGCTCCTGGGGCAAAACACATACATCTCCAGGCAAAATCTAGGACACTTTCTTACCAACAGAGTTTGATTCTTGACAAACGACAGTTTGACTTTCCCTGGGAACTTCCATTTTGGTTTCAATCTGTGTTTTGAATCGGATAAGCTACACATTAAATTTTTAATTATTTATTTAATTCCCAATCGAGAAATTATCGTTCATAATCTTCATATAATAATAACCTTTGTCATACATTTTTCAATGTAAAACATTTGTGATTGTGTGCAGGAATACTTAAGATTGCATACTTCAATAAGCTTGTTTTTCTTTTGTAAATTAGTCATGTCTGGATTTGGGGTTGCGTCTTTGTAAATTTCAGCTTATTCTGTATAACAGTGTTCTATGACTATGGATGTATGTCCACCAATCTACAATAATTGACATCAAGGTGTAGAGATTGGTCAACGTAGATACGAAGCTACAGAAAGATAAAATTGGATTTTTAGCGGTAGACAGTTTTTCTTAGTTAAATAAGGAATAAAATACCCAATGATTTTATTTTTACCTCAGAACATTTTATCCCCCAAATATTCTCCAAATTTGAGTGAAAATTTCCCAATACGGTAACCTTGGAATAAGGAAATTTTAATTTTCGAAATAAGCCGCCCTAGTCTCCTAACTGAGCTTTTTGATTTTGACAACGGAGGATTGTCTCGTTAATAATTGAAATAAGGTCATAACCAAGCAGGAAACAACAGCACAAACATGTTGCGATGGCATGGATGGAAAATAAAAAATGTTCTATGAATTTGTTAACCCATAAGAAAGTCGATGTTAAGTGATCATTCTTGTTCTAAAAGTGTATTTATTTTTCATTGACGAAATACAGAAGTCCAATTATTTAAGATTCTGAGATTCTTATGATACATTGATGAACATTTACCACATAGGAAATTATGATATCTAGTCATATTATAAAGCAAAAGCAACAATAATTATATTCTTGTGTCGGCCAAGAACGCTCGATTAAATTTAATTACCTTTGAAAGGAAAATCAAAATAGATCCATCTGTTTGGGAGCTCCGACGCCAGTTTCGTAATGACATTTTTGACCACACACTATATAAACGAGGCATGTGTACGAATTTATCCCACACAGCAAAACGGGCAACAACTTGGCCTTTTATATGAATCGTGAATATTCTCAGCTATGACGTAAGAAAATGTTTAACCGTTCGAAGTAGGGTATTTATGAATTTATATTTCAAGGTTGCGTCCTATAGCACTTGACATGCGTGTGTTAATACTAGTATAGTTACCCTGTTTCTAATCTTAAGAACATGAAGGGTAGGCAGCTTGCTTCAAGAAAACAACACAAATAAACTCAACATTTTATTATAAATCTTGACGGTACATATTGTTTCATTCTTTCGACTTTCGGCCGCCTTTTCTTCTTTCCGATATGCTTCGTTTTCTTCTGTCTTGCTCCTCTGCCGGCAGTCTTCAGTCTATGTATTGTTTGTTCGTCTTTCCGCTTTGCTTCATTCTTATCTTGTTCGTGTTTCCGTCTTGATACGTGTTGTCTTGTTCTTCTGTCCGCAATACTTCTAACTGGCGTCTTGTTCTTGTTTTCGCCCAGCTTCGTTCTTCCGTCTTGCTCGTCTTGTTCTTCTTTGCGCTATGTTTCGTTCTTCGATCTTGTTCCTGCTTCGTTCTTCTGTCTTAGCTCTTCTTTCCGCACTGTTTCATTCTTCTTGTGTTTCCAGTATCCGTCGTTTTTGTTTTCGTCTTGTGTCGTCTTCTTTAATGCATGGTTCATAATCCTGTCGTCTTCTTTCCGCCATGGTTCGCAGTACCGTAGTCTTCTTTCCGCCGTGGTCCCGTCCTCTTCTTTATGCCGTAGGTTGTGGTCCCGTAGTCTTCTTTCCACCTAGGTTGGTATCCCGTCTTCTTTCCGCCGTAATGCCGTGGTCTTCTTCCAACCTTGGTTGGTGTCCCGTCTTCTTCCACCTTTGTTCCGTGGTCTTCTTTCCGCCATGGTTCGTAGTCCCCGAGTCTTCTTTCCGTCGCGGTCTGTAGCCCCGCCGTCTTCTTTCCACCTGGGTTGGTAGTCGCGTCGTCTTCTTCCCGCCGTAGTTGAGGTCCCGCAGTCTTCTTCCGTCATGGGCCCGTTGTCTTCTTTCCATCTTGGTTGGTGGTCCCGTCCTCTTCTTTATGCCGTGGGTTGTGGTCCCGTATACTTCTTTCCGCCGTGATGCCGTCTTCTTCCCACCTTCGTGGGTAGTTCCGTCCCAGCTTCTTGCCGTGGTTCCATCGTCTTCAGGCCGTGGTCCCGTCTTCTATCCCGCCGTGGTTCCATCCTCTTCTTCACGCCGTGGGTTGTGATCCCGTCGTCTTCTTCCCACCTTCGTTGGTGTCCGGTATTCTTTCCCGCCGTGGTTCCGTCATATTTTTACTTTGGTTGGTAGTCCCGTAGTCTTCTTCCCGCCGTAGTTCCATCGAATTCTTTAAGCCGTGAGTTGTGGTCCCGTCGTCTTCTTCCTACCTTGGTTGGTGTCCCTTCTTTTTCTCGCCGTCTTCTTTTCACTTTGGTTGTAAGTCCCGTCCCGTCATCTCGCCGTGGTTCCATCGTCTTCATCCCACCTTGGTTGGTGTCCGGCCTTCTTCCCGCTGTGGATCTGTCGTCTTCTTCCCGCCGTGGTCCGTCGTCTTCTCTCCACTTTGGTTTGTAGTCTCGTCAACTTTTCCAGCCGTGGGTGGTGGTCCCGTAGTCTTTCCGCCATGGTCCCATCGTCTTCTTTCCACCTTGGTCCCGTCGCCTTCTTTATACTATGGTTCGTAGTTCCTTCGCCTTTCCACCTTGTTTCGTAGTCCAGTCCTCTTTCCGTAGTCGTCTTTAATCCCGTCGTCTTCGTTCCATCATGGTTCGTAGCCTTCTTCCCGCCATGGTTTGGTCGTATTCTTTATTTCGTGAGTTGTAGTGCCGTCGGTTTCTTTCCGCCGTGGTCACTCCCGTCATTTTTATCCGCCGTGGTTCCGCCCTTTTCTTTATGCCGTGGGTTGATGTTCCGCCGTTTTCTTTCCATCTTGGTTGGTGCCGTTTTTTTGCTCGCAGTTTCTCTTCTTTGTAGTTCCGCCGTAGTTAATAGTTACATCGACAATCATTCCGCTGTGATAGCCCTTGCCACGTTACATCGCACCGTCCCGCTGTAGTTTCGCCGTGGCCTGTAGTCCTGTCGTCTGGTTTCCCATCGTGGCTCGTTTGCCCTCGCAGCATTACACAGTTCCGTCCCGCTTCAATTCCTCCGTGGCTCGTAGTCCCGTCGTCCTGCCGTTAGCTCTCGCCGCGATACTCCCGTTCCACCCCGCACTAGCTCCGCCGTGGACCGTAATCCTGTCGTCGCCTTCCGATGTAGCTCGTAGTCCCATCGAAGTTTTGCGCCGTGGCTCGTAGTCTTGTTGCCTTCATGTTGCCGTTAGCCCTGGCCGCGTTATGTCGTTCCATCCCGCTCTAGTTCCGCCGTGTCCCGTAGTCCTGTGGTTGCCTGCCGATGTAGCCCCTAGTCCTGTCGTCGTTTCCCGCCGTGACTCGTAGTCCCAGCTATCCCTCATCGCGTTACACCGTTCCATCCCGTTCTAGTTCCGTCGAGACCCGTAGCCTTGTCGTCGCCTCCCGATGCAGCCCATAGTCTCGCCTTGCTGATGTTAGCCCTCGCCGCTTACAACGTTCCGTCCCGCTGTAGTTCCGTAGTGGCCCGTAGTCCTATCGTCATTTCCCGTCGTGAATCGTAGTCCCAGTTATCCCTCGTCGCGTTACACCATTCCATCCCGCTCTAGTTCCGCCGTGACCCGTAGTCGCCCTTAATCCCGTCGTCTTCTTGCCTTCATGTTGCCGTTAGCCCTCGCCGCGTTACGTTCCTCCCGCTGTAGTTCCGTAGTCCTGTCGTCGCCTCTCGATGTAGCCCGTAGTCGTTTCCCGCCGTGGCTCGTAGTCCCGTCGTCTTGTTGCCGTTAACCTGTAGTCCCGTCGTCTTGTTGCCGTTAACCTTTAGTCCCGTCGTCTTGTTGCCGTTAGCACTCGCCGCGTTCTGCCGTGGCCCGTCGTCCTGTCGTCCCCACCCGATGTAGCCCGTAGTCGTTCCCGCCGTGGCTTGTAGTCCTGTCGTCTTGTTGCCGTTAGCCCTCGCCGCGTTACGTCCCGCTGTAGTTCCGCCGTAGCCCGTAGTCGCTTCCCGCCGTGGCTCGTAGTCTCAGTTAGCCCTAGTCGCATTACACCGTTCCATCCTGCTCTAGTTCAGCCGTGGCCCTTAGCCTGACGTCGCCTTCCGATGTAGCCCGTAATACCGTATTCTTGCCTTCATGTTGCCGTTAGCCCTCGCCGCGTTACGTTCCTCCCGCTGTAGTTCCGTAGTCCTGTCGTCGCCTCTCGATGTAGCCCGTAGTCGTTTCCCGCCGTGGCTCGTAGTCCCGTCGTCTTGTTGCCGTTAACCTGTAGTCCCGTCGTCTTGTTGCCGTTAACCTTTAGTCCCGTCGTCTTGTTGCCGTTAGCACTCGCCGCGTTCTGCCGTGGCCCGTCGTCCTGTCGTCCCCACCCGATGTAGCCCGTAGTCGTTCCCGCCGTGGCTTGTAGTCCTGTCGTCTTGTTGCCGTTAGCCCTCGCCGCGTTCCGTCCCGTTGTAGTTCCGCCGTGGCCCGTAGTCCTGTCGCTTTGTTGCCGTTAGCCCTCGCCGCGTTCCGTCCCGCTGGAGTTTCGCCGCGTTCCGTCCCGTTGTAGTTCCGCCGTGGCCCGTAGTCCTGTCGTCGCCTCCCGATGTAGCCCATAGTCGTTTTCCGCCGTGGCTCGTAGTCCCGTCGTCTGGTTGCCGTTAGCGCTCGCCGCGTTCCGAGCCGCTGTAGTTCCGCCGCGTTCCGTCCCGCCGTGGCCCTTAGTCCTGTCGTCGCTTCCCGCCATGGCTCGTAGTCCCGTCGTCGTTAGCTCTTGTCGCGATACACCGTTCCGTCCCGCTGTAGTCCGTAGCCCTGTCGTCGCCTCCCGATGTAGCCCGTAGTCGTTTCCCGCCGTGGCTCGTAGTCCCGTCGTCTTGTTGCCGTTAGCCCGTAGTCCCGTCGCCTTGTTGACGTTAGCCCTCGCCGCGTTGTCCCGCTGTAGTTCTGCCGTGACCCGTAGTCCTGTCGTCTTGCTGTTGTTAGCCCTCGCCGCGTTCCGTCCCGCTGTAGTTCCGCCGCGTTCTGTCCCGCTGTAGTTCCGCCGTGGCCCGTAGTCCTGTCGTCGTTCCCGATGTAGCCCGTAGTCGTTTCCCGCCGTGGGTCGTAGTCCCGTCGTCTTGTTGCCGTTAGCCCGTAATCCCGTCGTCTTGTAGCCGTTCGCCCTCGCCGCGATCCGTTACGCCATGACCCGTTGTCTTGTTATCGCCTCTCAATGTAGCCCGTAGTCGTTTCCCGCCGTCGCTCGTAGTCCTTTCGTCTTGTGCCGTTAGCCCTCGACGCGTTACACCGTTCTAGTTCCGCCGTGGCCCGTAGTACTGTCGTCGCCTCCCGATGTAGCCCATAATCGTTTCCCGCCATGGCTCGTAGTCCCGTCGTCTTGTTGTCGGTAGCTCTTGCCGCGATACACAGTTCCGTCCCGCTGTAGTCCGTAGTCCTGTCGTCGCTTCCCGATGTAGCCCGTAGTCGTTTCCCGCCGTGGCTCGTAGTCCCGTCGTTTAGTTGCCGTTAGCCCGTAGTCCCGTCGTCTTGTTGCCGTTAGCCCTCGCCGCGTTCTGACCCGCTGTAGTTCTGCCGTGGCCCGTAGTCCTCTCGTCGCCACCCGATGTAGCCCGTAGTCGTTTCCCGCCATGGCTCGTATAGTCCTGTCGTCTTGTTGCAATTAGCACTCGCCGCGTTTCGTCCCGATGTAGTTCCGCCTAGCCCTGTCGTCGCTTCCCGCCGTGGCTGGTAGTCTCAGTTAGTCCTAGTCGCATTACACTGTTCCATCCCGCTCTAGTTCCGCCGTAGCCCCTAGTCCTGTCGTCGCTTCACGCCATGGCTCGTAGTCCCGTCGTCTTGTCGTTAGCTCTTGCCGCAATACACCGTTTCGTCCCGCTGTAGTCCGTAGTCCTGTCGTCGCCTCCCGATGTAGCCCGTAGTCGTTTCCCGCCGTGGCTCGTAGTCCCGTCGTCTTGTTGCCGTTAGCCCGTAGTCCCGTTCCGTCCCGCTGTAGTTTCGCCGTGGCCCGTAGTCCTGTCGTCGTTCCCGATGTAGCCCGTAGTCGTTTCCCGATGTAGCCCGTAGTCGTTACCCGCCGTGGGTCGTAGTCCTGTCGTCTTGTTGCCGTTAGCCCTCGCCGCGTTCCGACCCGCTGGAGTTTCGCCGCGTTCCGTCCCGTTGTAGTTCCGCCGTGGCCCGTAGTCCTGTCGTCGCCTCCCGATGTAGCCCATAGTCTTTTTCCGCCGTGGCTCGTAGTCCCGTCGTCTTGTTGCCGTTAGCCCGTCGTCTGGTTGCCGTTAGCGCTCGCCGCGTTCCGACCCGCTGTAGTTCCGCCGCGTTCCGTCCCGCCGTGGCCCTTAGTCCTGTCGTCGCTTCCCGCCATGGCTCGTAGTCCCGTCGTCGTTAGCTCTTGTCGCGATACACCGTTCCGTCCCGCTGTAGTCCGTAGCCCTGTCGTCGCCTCCCGATGTAGCCCGTAGTCGTTTCCCGCCGTGGCTCGTAGTCCCGTCGTCTTGTTGCCGTTAGCCCGTAGTCCCGTCGCCTTGTTGCCGTTAGCCCTCGCCGCGTTGTCCCGCCATTGCCCGTAGTCCTGTCGTCGTTCCCGATGTAGCCCGTAGTCGTTTCCCGATGTAGCCCGTAGTCGTTTCCCGCCGTGGCTCGTAGTCCCGTCGTCTTGTTGCCGTTAGCCCGTAATCCCGTCGCCTTGTAGCCGTTAGCCCTCGCCGCGTTATGTCCCGCTGTAGTTCCGCCGTGGCCCGTAGTCCTGTCGTCGTTCCCGATGTAGCCCGTAGTCGTTTCCCGATGTAGCCCGTAGTCGTTTCCCGCCGTGGGTCGTAGTCCTGTCGTCTTGTTGCCGTTAGCCCTCGCCGCGTTCCGTCCCGCTGGAGTTTCGCCGCGTTCCGTCCCGTTGTAGTTCCGCCGTGGCCCGTAGTCCTGTCGCCTTGTTGCCGTTAGCCCTCGCCGCGTTCTGTCCCGCTGTAGTTCCGCCGTGGCCCGTAGT